TCGCCGGAGCGAGAATTTTGCGAGGCTGCGTGGCGGGGAGCAAGCGAATGGTGCACTTCGTCTAGGGCTTGTGTGTTTTTGCTGTAGTTGATACTTTGAAAGTAATGCCCCTCTTGCGCCGTCTTCCACTGACAAGTGCCCTGAACAAGTCAGGGTCGAGCTCGCTGTCCACGTCGTTTGCTGCCTCTCTGCGCATCGAGAGGTACCCATCGCACACGTCATCCGTGAGGACGCTTGGATCTTCATGACCTCTCTCATACTTGTTCTGATTGCCCAAAGCTTTGATGTACGCAATTTGCATCCGTCCCTTTTGCACCAATTCGAGTCCTCCATCTTCGTCTGTGGGGAGGCACCCCCACAGGCCTCCTCGGAAGGATCGTAAAGCAGTAGACACAATGAGGTGCAGTCGAGGGCTTGCGCCGCAGCAAGAGCGGGATTTGATGCTAGCTTGCCACAACCTTGAGCGCACGTCGGATATGTACGTCTTGACAGGCTCCAGAACTTCGTCTCGAAAAGGCATTGGTTGGACCATGATCTACGATGTGCAGCCATGCCTGTCGGAGCTGGTCGTTTCTAAAATACTATTGCCAAGCAACCTTGTTTAGCAAGTTCTGAATTCCCCAATTTACTGGTTGAATAGACGGCTTTCGTTTGTATCCAAGAATGTGTTTGCGACCACGGCGCACTCTGTATTCTACTGTCCAATCAATTTGCCCCTTGCTTGGCGCGACCGTGACATTGCGCAACGGGTCAAATCAATATGTTGCTGGACGGCCCAGTCTACATTCCAGCACTCGGCCTATTTCCACCTTGGTCAGGCCGCGAAGAAGGGATGCGACATTATTTATACTGCACGTATTGTGGAAACCGTTGGGAGGGCAAGATGGGAGATGAAGAGTTGCCGCGTGCTCTCTGGCCCGTCGAGCGCAGGCCTTGATCTTCACCAGCCTTTCCCATTTTCGCCGCGCCCTCGTCCCCTGGCTGACCGGCGCGGTCTTTCGTAGCCCTTTCTGGTGCTCTTGCCTTTCGAACTCCCAGCTTTGCCACTTTTGCCCTGCTTCCCAGCTTTGCCACCTTCTCCTTTCGCGGTGGCTTTCCCCTGGGATGTGTCCTTTCCTTTGCCTTTGCCCTTGCTCTCATTGCCCTCGCCCTTGCCTTTCAGGATCGACGACCTGCCGCGGCCCCTTCCTCTGCCTCCGCTCTTGGCGGGGGACTGGCCGTTTTTTGACCCTCCGGCAGGAGCGCTGTCAGGGAAATAAGCTAAGATCACATTGCTGCTGGTATCATGGCGCTGGGGTGTCCAACGGCTTCTTGGGGTCCGTTTTCGCCGAACGCCTGGCTTTCTCGATTCTGGCGCCGATGACCGTCTCCATCAGCTCTGCTGGGGGCTTCTGACTCACAGCCTCCGCGATTTTCTTCTTCTTGGCCGTTTCTTTCTTTTCGCCGAGCGCGTTCCACTACTCGCAAAGTGCCTACTCGCAAACGTCCCCCAAAGCATATATGCTTTGATGTATTTTATCGTACATTTCCCTGTGGCGGATCCAGGCCATTTGCGAGTAGCTACTTTGCGAGTATTGGAACGCGCTCGTCTATCTTTGCCTCGTCTATCTTTGCTGCGTCCAATTTTTTCGGCCGTCCAACTTTCTCTGCTTGCGATGGGCAGCTTGATCAACAATCTTCCTGTAGATCACTGCGAGACGGTGTCTGAGCGAGTCAGGGTCCACTCGAACCTCGTCGTCTTCCGCCAAGCCTAAGAACGCAAAAGGGCGACGTTCTTGCGAGCTCAACCGCCATGCACTGCTGGTCGAACGCTTCACGGGAAGTCTTAAGAAGAAGATCTTCACGCTGCCGCTGGAGTACGTCCAAATCCAATTTTTTCTGGTGCGCCAAGGTCACGCCATAGATCTATACCTTGGCATTCCTGATGGACATGTCACCTATATCACTATGAAGCGATTCATCCACGCTGGTGCGTACCGCATCGAGAAATGGGGTTTCATATGATAATGTGAATGGACAAAAGCCTAGAAGGAAACTGCCTTGATCCAGGCTGTCTTTTTGCTCAGTGTACGAATTTTCTCTATCTATCAATTTCCGTCAACTGTCGATGTAGGCATTCAGGGAGTTGCACGTTTTCTTGATTTGCGCCTGGACCTCTGGGCTGACGTAACCACGAAGCTGTTGTTCGATGACGTCGGCCAGCTGGTCCTGGCTCGGGTCAACCACCGGCCCGATGCTCTGCTGAGGAGCGAGCGCTGCCACAGCTGATGCTGCCGGTGCTGACTGAAGCTCAGAAGCCCGTGCGAAACGAGGAGAACGTTCGCGTTCTTCTTGAGGCTGAGCTCTTGGGTGCAACGACCGTCGGCCTGGACCTCGACTCCCTGCTTGACATCACCCTTGCCGCCAAGAAGAGTGCGTAATTGGGAAGTCCGAAGATGATTGATGCACTGTTCTTGCTGATGCGGTGATGCTTCGTGACGCGGGTATGTTTTGGCCCCCGGGGACTCTGCCAGCCAAGGAGTGGCCTCGCGTACTGAGCGCTCTAGGCCAAGATTCAAACGGAAGTGCCAACATACATGCGTGAGAAAAGACACGAAGTTGTCGCAACGCCCTCTTGACCCTTGCCACGAAGGCTAATTCCGAGAAGTCGACGTAACAATTTTTGGTCTGCTGCTACACAGGAAAAGATAATGCTAAACATGATGTTGACGATAATGTTCAATACAATGTTAAACATAATGTCCAATCATAATGAGTAATCATAACGTTTCATTCTGTTAACGATAGAATTGAATCTGCTGGCACATATAATCTTAAGTCTAATTTTAGAGCGAATGTTAAAGATAATGTCAAAGGTAGTATCACATGTAATGTTTAATATAATGTTAACATAAGGTGAAATATACTTCGAAAGAGAATGTGACAGATACAGTGGAATATACTGGGAAATATACGGTCAAATATAGTGTGAAATATCAGGTTAAATGTAATCTCACATATTATGGTAACTATAAAATTAAAGGGACAATAACAGATACAGTTACCTTGACTGTTAATTCAGAATGTAGTTTAAGGATGCTTAACATGATGCTGACTCAAATTTTACATATAATGTTAAATATATTCTGAAAGAGACTTTCAACGATAATGCTAAATCTACTGTTAAAGAGAATGTTAAAGGGCAGGCGAATGTTAATGTGTACTCATCATGTTTAATCATGCGAATAACTATAATATTCAAGATACTGTTAACGAGAATGCGAACGTGAATCTTACATAACATGGTAACTCCAATGTTACATAACATGTTGAATATACTGTTGAATATACTGTTGAAATATAATGTTGGAGTCTGCTAAAGAGAGTGTCAAGGAGAAACTTCATGAGGATGTTAAAAGACTACTGGAGAGAATGATAACGAGTAGGTTAAGGAAACTGTTAAACATCATGTTATATTCATCTCGCAGATAATGTTGAAAAAGCATGTTGAAGAGAAGGTTAAGGAGAACGTCAACGATAATGTTACAGAGACTGCTACAGAGAATGTTGAATATTCCGCTGAAGATGATGTTAACGAGAAGGTTACAGATACTGTTAAACATAATGTTAACGAGACTGTTACATAGAATGTTGAACATACTGCTGAATTTAATGCCAACTATGTTAATATAACGTTAAAGAGCATGGTAAAGATCAGGTTAGTTATACTGTCATATATAATGTTAAGGATGATACTCAATCATCAGGCTTATCCAGGTCGTTTCACCATAATGCCAACGATAATATTGGAGATAATGTTAAATAACATGTAAATATAATGTTAACTATGCTGTTCAGCATACTCTTACAGAGAAGGTTACAGAGAAGGTTAGATAAGGTGAATGATAATGTGAAAGAGACTGTTAAAGGGATAGTAAAGATAATGTTAAAGACACTGTTGAATACACTGTTAAAAACACGTTGAATGGAGTGCGAATGATATGTTAAAGAGAAGGTTGAGGATCATGTCAACGAGACTGTGGAAGAGAATGTCGTAGAGTTTGTTCCAGATAATGTCAAAGAGTATGTTCAAGATACTGTTAACTATAAAGTTTCAGATGCTGCTAACGATACCATTCATGATCATGTTAAAGAGTATCTTACGTATACTGTTTACTCAATGTTTAAGGTGAACGAGCCTGTTAAAGATAATGCCAAACGTGATGTTTAACTGTAAGGTTACATATTATGCTAGAATATTACGTTTACTACAATGATGAAGTGACATATAATGTTAAACATACTATTGAAGGGCATGCTACTTGTACTGTTACATATACTGGTGACGATCATGAAACTATAACTTCATAGGTGTTGACATTTAGATATATTTTCGTTTAGTCGTAATGCTGATTCAACGGTAACTATAAGGTGGAAGTTGATGTTTAAACACCATGTTCACGATACTGTGAAATATGATGTTGACGAGATCGGGCCTCATCGGGATCCAATCGGATCGAGATGGCCGAGGTCGACATTTCATTGGGCAGGCCGCGAGCGCACGCGCAACGCGTCAGTCGGTCGATCGCCAAAGTGAAGCATCGGGCGCAGACAATGGTCAGCAAGAACGTCATCGCTGCCGTCGCCGCCGCCGTCGCAGTCGCCGCCGTCGCCGTCGCCGGCGTCGTTGTCGTCGCCGTCGCCGTCGCCGTCGTCGTCGTCGTCGCCGTCGTAGCCGTCGTCGTTGCCGTCGCCGTCGCCGTCGCCGTCGCCGTCGTCGTCGTCGTTGTCGTCGTCGGCATCGTTTGGCGTCGTCGCCGTCGCCGTCGTTGTCGTCATCGTCGGCGTCGTTTGTCGCCGTCGCCGTCGCCGTCGGCGTCGTTTGTCGTTTGTCGTTTGTCGTCGTCGCCGTCGTCGTCGTCGTCGTCGTCGTCGTCGTCGTCGTCGTCGTCGTCGTCGTCGTCGTGGGGGGAGCGGCCCCGCGGTGGGCGTCGGGGGCAACAGCGCCTCCCCTCTGGCAGGTCTTCGGCGGGTCGGTCTGTGGGTTCCGGGCCGCCAAGGCGCCCGCCCCAGGCGCGCCAGCGGTGGCGTCGTTGCCTGCGTCCTCCTCGTCGTCTCGTCTCTTCTCGTCGTCCTCCTCGTCGTCTCGTTGTCTGCGTCCTCCTCCTCGTCCCGTCTCGTCGTCTGCGTCCGCCTCGTCGTCTGCGTCCTCCTCGCCGTCTCGTGTCGTCGTCCTCTCCTTTCGGTCGTCTGCTGCGTCGCGCAGGGCGGGGGGGGCGGAGGGGGCAGGAGGAGCGGGGCAGCGGGGTATGCGTGAGGGCGCTGGGGGAGGGGGCGCAGCAGGAGAGGGAGGAACAGGAGGACGGGGAGGAGGAGAGTGAAGGGAGGAGAAGGAGGAGGAGAAGGAGGAGCAGGAGGAAAAGGAAACGAGGAGGTGGTGGAGGAGGAGCAGAATGAGGGCCAGGAACACGAGGGAATGAGGACAGAGGTGAGGAGCGAGGCAAGCTGGGGGCGCTTGCGCCATAGCTGATCTTTGCGCTGAGTTTGTTTCTATCCGTCTACGTGTTGCATGGCGGACCTGGGACACCAAAGACGTTGATGTGGCGAAAGAGCAAGAGGACGAGCAAGAGGAGAAGGAGGAGGAGGAGGAAACATGATGACGAGGACCAGCAGTAGCAGCAGCAGCAGCAGCAGCAGTAGCTGGAGTGTCAGGAACAAGGGAAGGCGTAGGAGGGCAAATGAGGGGGGCGATAAAGATGAAAAAAGGATTCGGGTCCACAAAGTGACCCGCGCTGGGACGAGAGCGCCAGTCATTACTAACGGTCCCCTCGCTTATTTGATTCACTTTGCGTCAACATCAAGTATGGATAGTTGGCGCTGGTATCGCTGACGTTGACATGCGTGCTTTTCGCATCCATTCGTGCTTAGTAAAAGGTGTCCGCGCACGCGCGACCGGCCTCCATTCCTTTGGCCAGCTATATCACACGCAATCATATTCGTACATGTTTTACTGGACTACGTAAACATGTTTACAAGTCGTGCATCTCCGATATCCAACATGTGGCCAATACTTGACACATTCAAGTCCATGAAGAACAACAAGATGATCAACATAAACCATTGCCTACGGTTTCCATTCTTGCGGAAATGAGGATTTCCGGGCAAAGTGTTGGTTATCAACCGAAATACTCACCGTGAGGTCTCGCGACTGTGCCGCAAACCTGGAGTGTGCTGGGTCGAAACAAATACGGTGTGGTGGCGGACCCGAAAAATATCTGAGTCGAGGGAAAATACATGGGGCCCACACCTACCGTACAAGGACATGGTGAAGCATGCCCTGGCAAGAGGTCTCACGCGGCCGCGTCTAACGACTATGTCACCGTCATGGCCGCGGGGCCTCGGCATAATCTCAGCAAACCAGATTCCGCCGACCGCGCTGACCCGCCGATGCACTGTGGCGCGGGTGGGCCAGATGCCCCGCGGGATGGCCGTACTGCGGCAGGGGATGACGTCGAGTGGCACGGGGGCCGGGGGCCCCCGCGATCCCCATTGCCGGCGGCGGCTGTCTCCTTTTCGCCGGAAGCCGATAGGTCAATGAAGTAGTCGACTCCGCGTCTCTCCTGGGCGAGCGAGAGGCGCCGGCCTTCATGGCGGTGACCCGAGCGCTGATGATGTTAGGCCGACGCCGGAGGTCGGGGGCAGCATGGGCGCAGCGATGGATGGACAACTAGTTGAGGGCATCTTTGTTGCCGGGAGCTCTCGCGTCGATGCTCCCATCGATGCAGCAAGCGGACAGGGTGAGGTATCGGACTTCGAGGAAGAAGGTCCAGGCTCTCCCGAGTGCGCCGCGCTGCATGGTTGCGCCCAACAGGGCGAGAGGAGCGGCATCTCGGCAGCCTGGGCCATTGGTGGACCTGTCGCTTATTTCTCCGACAGGGAAGCGGTCGAAGACAGAAGGGGACCTCGCGTGGCATCTGTGGGCTGGCGAGGGGAACTGTGTTTCCGAGCCGCCGTGCCCATCGACCCTCCCGAACGCGCATGGCCGCCGTGAAGGAATCGTCTTGGGCGGCATGCGACGGCCTGCCTGCCGATGTCGATCGAGGGAGAGGTTCGCTCCGACGGCGAGGGCCCGTGCCCTCAGAACCTTCTCGGGCGCATCCCACTTCCTTGCTCGCACCGCCAGATCCCGCTCATCGAGCATGAGGATTTGAGAGGAGCGCGTGCGGACACTCCGGGTCGACCTGCGCTCGTGTCCCAGAAAGCCGCTGCCCTGGAGACCGCGGGCGACGTTTGAAGCCCGTCTGTCTGTCTGCGCTTCAGCCTCGCATTCCTCTGCCCGCGGTGTTTTTCTCCGTCCGCTCGCAACTGCGCGCACGAGGTTCCGGGCCAATCATGAGGCGCTGATGGCAGCCCGAGCCGTTGAGGCGAGGGCCGAACAGACCATGGGGGCCGGGGAATCGCGCGGCGAACAGGTTTACCAGGGACGTGCTGGACATCGTGCCCAGCAATAACTGCATCGACGCCTCGCACGGCGAACGGCGATGCCGCGTGTCCGGCGACCTCCCCTGCAGTGGCGAAGCGAGGGGCGGGTGAGCGGGCCGCCCCGGTGGCGGCCAGCGGCGGCCATTGGTGCCGCGCGTGTCGACGCCAGGCCGAGTGCGACTGCCCTCGATGCAATGGGCCTTCTGCGATCTGCACTTCGACGCGCGGCAATGGCGGTGCCCGTCTTGCTGTGAAGTCTGCGCCAGGAACGAAGAGGAAGCTGAGATGAGACAAGCGTGATGGAGAAAGCGCGCCAGTGGATCTCCCTGAATACACCAAAGGGGGGGGGGTTGCAGAACCCCCCCCCTCCCTCCCTTCCAAGGGGGGGGTCCGGAACCGCCCCCCCCTCCCTTTCCCCCTTAAGGGGGGGGGCACTGGGGCCTTCGGTGGAGCTCCTTATGGGGCCACGAAACGTGCGAGGGATGTGCTGGAATGGGCGTGGGTGGCGCATGCGGGCGGTGGCATTGCCGCCTTCGATGGAGCTCCCTATGGGGCCACGAAGCGTGTGAGGGGTGTGCCGAAATGGGTGTGGGTGACGCATGCAGGCGGTGGCACTGAGGCCTTCGGTAAAGCTCCCAATGTGGCCACGAAACGTGTGATGGGTGTGACGAAATGGGCGTGGGTGACACATGCGGGCGGTGGCAGTGGGGCCTTCGGTGGAGTTCCCAAATGGGTGTGGGTGACGCATGCGGGCGGTGGCACCGGGGCCTTCGGTGGAGCTCCCCATGGGGCCACGAAGCGCTGTACTGGGTGGGTGAAACGCAGGGAGGAGGGAGAAGGGGGAGGACGGAGGAGGAAGGAGACGCGGGGACCGTCTCTTCAAAACGAGGACCCAACACCACAGGATGGTTGGGAAAAATCAGCACGGAGGTTTTTGGCAAAGCTCGGTCCCTAGGGGCCCTTGCCGGGCCTCAGGGCCGTCAAAAAACGACTCAGGATGAAAAACCAGTCCTGGGGAATGGGTCGAGACTTCCAGGGACCCCGTATCGAAAACAAAAATCACGACATCGGATCTCAGGGAAAGCAGCGTTGAGCTCTGACCCCTCCGCTCCGGTAGCGGCTTGGAGAGGAGCGTGCCCGTCGGTGGAGAGTAATCCTGCACCAGAGTTGGGGGAAGGGTGGGGGACGGCACACGAATGTCGGGGGCGGCAAAGAGGGGGGTGATGACCAGGGGGGGTGGATATTATCGCGAGGGGAATATCTCCCCAGATTTCATGGCGCGTCTTCTTATTTCAACACCTCCCCGGGTCCCCCCCCTGGACCGCGCACATGCCGCTGGCCATAATTTGCGCCCCCCCTTCTTGGCCGCTCCCGAGAACGCAGGCGTCATTCCTCTGGAGGCGACTTGGCCCAGCCTCGCTCGAGGGAGGAAGAGCAGGGAGCGACGCCAAAGAACCGGGTCGTCGGCGCCGGCAATGGCGCGCAAGCTGCCCACGTAAGGTCGCGTGTGAGCGCGTCCTCGTCTCCAGCCATCGTGCCGCGCCAGCGGCCCGCGTGAGCCGCGGCGTGAGGTCGCTACCCCACCTCGCGTAAGACCCGTTTTTGATCCTCGCTCACGTGGTGGGGCGACCTGGCTCCCTCCCTCCCTCTCGGCGGCGAGCCAGGAGGGGAGATGAGAAGGAGAAGGCCTTCTGAGAAGGCGGCGGGACTCCTCGGAAGGCCTCGCGCCTTCGAGAAGCTATTTGTGTCTTCGGGGAAGGCTTAGGAACCTTCTCAGAAGGCCGGGGGACTTCTGAGCCTTTCAAGATGGCCCGCCCCTTCTCACTTCCCCCCCCCGTTCCCGGCCGACTAGTGGTCGTTGCAGCCGGACCGAGGCATGCGGTTGAGGTCTCGGTTCGGGAAGGGTGCCCCAGTGGTCGTCGTGCTTGTTGGATCTTCGTGTGGGTCCTGTGGGTCCTTGCTGGACGTTCTTGTGGGTCCTGTTGGTCCTGTTGCTGGGTGTTCCTGTGGGTCCTCGCTCGCCGCTGATCCTCCCCTCGCGGGGACGTCAGCTGCCCGCCTCACTGGCCCTGGCCGGGCCGATTCCTGGCCTGGGGGGTATCGGCGCGCCTGCCCCAGTATTTCCTGGGCCTCCCAGGTGGAGGTGCATCTGCGATGGGGCGCGTTTTTCCGACTTCCCCTGCTCGGGCGATTTTATCAGGGAGGGAGAGCTACCACGACCCGCACACTTGATGTTTACGAAACAACCCTGGGCGTTTCCTTACCACAAGCCCTGCCCTGTTCGATTCTCTCTGTGGGGGAGTTCACTGGGAAGGCCTTGCCTGTCGGTGTTCTTGTTATGAGGGTGGTTATCCTACCCTCCACGTCTGGGAGGGCGAGCCCTGGCCCCCGACGACGTGTTTTTTTCACAACGTCGACCCCAAGAGGTCTAGACCCTTCACCGGGACCGGCTTTTCATCCCGAGTAGTTTTTTGACGGCCCTGAGGCCCGGTAAGCGCCCCTTGATGCCAAAAATAGCGGAAAACGTTTTGTCGTTTTCTTCGCAACGCGAGTGGGGGCAGTTTGGGAGGGGGTCCGCTGACGCCCCCCCGGGCTTCCCCGAGCGTCGGCGTGCGGCCAGGCGACGACGTGGCGGGGACGCGCGTGCAGCTGGCTGCTGCCGAGGCTAGGGGCGCCGTGGCCGCCGCCGTCGCCCCGAGGATCGGATCGACTCGGCAGGAGGAAGCGCCGTGCCCTTGGCCCCCACCCCTCTGTTGATGGGTCAATGTTCCACCACCGCCACCACCACCACCACCACCACCACCACCACCACCACCACCACCACCACCACCACCACCACCACCACCACCACCACCACCACCACCACCACCACAATTAGGTAGGACGGGGGAGGTCCTCCTCCTCCTCCTCCTCTTCCTCCTCCTCCTCCTCCTCCTCCTCCTCCTCCTCCTCCTCCTCCTCCTCCTCCCCCTCCTCCCCCTCCTCCCTATCCAACCTATGGTAGGGGTGGTGGAAAAACGGCCCATCACCTGTGGGGGGCCGCAAGGATGGAGCTTAAAGCTCAAAAGCCAGCCAGGGCAGAATTTGTATTCCGCCCTGCCCGGCGGTCCGACACCATCCAAGGCCCAACCCTCCAGATCTGAGGGGGGAGGCACGGAGTCGTCTTCGCGTGAGCGGACACTGCCGGTGACGGCAACATCACAGTGGACGCTCCTGAAAATTTCCTCTGGCCTGCAGGCCGAAGCCCCTGACCTAGACCACGGGGGGGGGAAGCGGGGGAGGGAAGCAAGCCTCTGCTGGCCGCACCCGACCGCCTTCGCGCTGCCAGACCATGGCGCATTGCAAAGAGGAGGAGGAGGAGGAGGAGGAGGAGGAGGAGGAGGAGGAGGAGGAGGAGGAGGAGGAGGAGGAGGAGGAGGAGGGAGGAGGAGGAGCAGGAGGAGGAGGAGGAGGAGGACGAGGAGGAGGAGGAGGAGGAGGAGGGAGGAGGAGGAGGAGGAGGAGGGGGACAACCCACACATTTCCCGAGCTGGCCCGGGATACTGCCAGGAGGAGCGGCCCTTGGCAGCAAGCTGCAGCCGCAGCGCGTGAGCGTGACCCTTCGCCGAGGTTGGTGCGGGGCCTGGACTTGGAGGAGGGGGACAGTTCTCATCTTTTCGGACCTCCTGGGGGGGCTTTCGTCGCCACGGCCGGCTCCGCCTCGAGAGGTCCTGGTCGGGGCACGCTCCAGGACAGGCCCGGGGGCAGATCTCTTGGGAAGAGGGTCGGGCAGGGGGGTCCACGCGCAGCAAAGGGGGGCGAAGGGGTGGCTTTCTCAGAAGTCACCCGCCTCTCAGGTTCATGGGAAGCAACCTTGGAAGCCTCTAAGAGGTGGCCGACCCCTTCTGAGAGGCCCCCCCCGCCTTCTTAGAAGGCGCCTTCGTCGCCTCCCTGCCTTCGAGCAACATCCGCTCAAAACCCGTCTTCAGACCACCCCAGGGTCCGTCCGGGCCCGCTTTCCGAGCCAGGGCAACCGTTAGAGGAGCCTACGAACTTTCAAAACGCCGACGACGTCGTCATTTCGCTTGCCGAACAGGGAGGGCCAGGACGACCGCACAAAACGGCGAAGGCTTCGGCCCCTGGCCACCGATCCAGCCAGCCCACTCGGAGACCCGAACGGCGGTGTCGCCAACGGACCAAGGCAACAGGGAACCCGAGGAGCTTCCAGGCGGTTGTCAGCGAGCTTATCGGTATCGTTTTACCGATCCCCATCCCCATCCCCATCCCCTTCGAGACCCCCACCAAATTACCGCCCAGTTGGGGATACACCACTCGAAAACCGAAGGGAACGACCCATATCCCCTTCTAGGGGGGTAAATCGGCCAGTGGGGCCCAGGCCACGCCGCTGGGGATGGGGATCGGTTAAACGATACTCAGCTTATTGGGCGCAGGTCCAGGATGCCAGCGCGTTCCCCGACCCCGCACAAACTGGACGGATGGCTGCTGCCAGTCGCGCCCAGAGACGACGCTGTCCGATTCGAACAGAGGCTGCGGGTGCTGCGGGGTCGCGCGCCCCCCCCCGTGGGGCAATCGCGGCGGTGTTCAGCGCAGCTTAGAACCGATGATGCACGGATTGGAACTTCAGAGGTCGAGCGACAGCAGCCGCTTTTGCCGATCTGGATGCGGCGGCGCGGCGGAGGACGGCATGGAGCCTTTCCCCCAACAGTGTACCGTCGGCCACAGTGTCATCGTGTTTCAGTTGGGTGGGCGGGGCGTGGCTGCTCCGTGCTGGCCGGGCGTGCGCCAGCTGCAGCCGCGTCTCCGGCGTGGCCCGGTCCCGCGGCAGGGTGCCAGCCGAAGTCGTTCTGGGATCTCCGCGGCAGGCTCTGAGAGAGGATGCGGCCAGGCACCGTGGCGCAGAGCGGACGCCGGCGGAGGAAAGCAGTGCGACGGAGCGCGTCGACGAGCAGAGCAAATCAGTGACACGCAATGCGAAGCAGGGCAGCACCAGTGAACATCAATACGAGGAGTGCAGCTCGAAGCAACGTCAACCCATGGCACAGCTCGTAGGCACAACCCTCGGTCCACGGCACCCGCCAGGCAGCGGCGCCCATGGCGTGGGCACGTGTTCTGGCCCGGGAAAATCAGCGGCACCCGTGGCGCAATCATGGCCGCAATACATGGCGCAACCCGTGTGCAAAACCCGTGCGGCCGCATTACGCAACGAAGTCTTGAGATGCGACGTAATAGACGCAACCCATGGCGCAATCTGTTGACCCAACCAATGGCGCTCAAGAACCAGCGGCACGGCGTGCCCAGTTCTTCAGGGCAGAATGAAGAAGATCTGACTGCAAGCGTTGCTTGGGGTTCACTGGGAAACGGGGCAGGCCAAGCCCCACGCAGCCAGGGTTTTCCAGGCCGGGGCTGGTACGTAGGGGTTGAGGGGTAGAAGGTGGAGACGGGGGCGGGGGTGAAAGGAGGGGAGCAAGGCGGAGGGTAGGAGGAGGAGGAGCAGGAGGAGGAGGAGGAAGAGGGGGAGGAGGAGGTGGGGGAGGAGGAGGGAGGTAGAGGGGAAAGGGCGAGGAGGAGGAGGAGGAAGAGGAGGATGAGGATGAGGAGGAGCAGTATGAGGACAAGGAGGAGGAAGATGCGGAGGAGGAGGAGGAGCAAGATAGAGGGGGAAGGGCGCGGAGGGTGATGAGCTGGAGGATGATGATGATTATGATGATGATGACGTTGATGATGATGATTATGATGATGACGATGATGATTATGATGATGATGATGAGGATGATGATGAGGATGATGATGCTGATGATGCTGATGATGTTGATGATGGTGATGATGTTGATGATGATGCTGATTCTGATGATGATGATGACGATGAGGAGATGGAGGAGGAGGAGGAGGGGGAGGAGGAGGAGGAGGAGGAGGAGGAGAAGGAGGAGGAGGAGAAGAAGAAGAAGAAGGCGGAGGAGGAGGAGGAGGAGGAGGAGGAGGAGGAAAGGGATCAGTGTAATCCCAAGACTCATCAGCGTTGTTGGAATAAACCTCCAAGCTCCCTTTGCATAGGCCCCTACAGTGGTTCATTTCTACTGAGGGAACTGCTCCGTTGGGAGAGAACCGTTTGGAGACCCTGAAGCGTGCCAAAATACCATTCTCGGGACTCCAACCCCACAACTTAACATGACTGGTTGCGTCTTGACGATCTGGAATCGTGCAATAACACCGTTCCTGGGACTTCAAGTAACGTAACTGTTGCGGCCTCAGGCCTGAGTCCTTCCAAAACACCATTTCTGGCACGTTGATCATCGGAATCCGTGAAGCTCTGGCAAATGTTTAAGACGATTGTGCGCGGCGGTAAGGCGAGAGCCACATTTGGAAAAGGAACTGCCTTCCATGCGTGAAGCTCTTGCGAGTTTTAGAAACGGAATGTGCGCGGCGCCCAGGCGAGAGTCACATTTTGAAAACGACCCGCCCTAAATATGTGAAACTGCTGCAAATGTTTGAAACGAATGTGCGCGGCGCAGGCGAGAGGCACAGTTCGAAAACCACCCGCCCTTAATCCGTGAAGCTCTTGCAACATGGTCAATCAAATTTGCGCGGCGCTAAGGCGGGAGCCACACTTTGAAAACGACCCGCCCTCAGTCCGTGAAGCTCTTGTTTTTTACAGAAATTGTGCGCGGCGCTCAAGCGAGAGCCACATTTTGAAAATCTTTCGCCCCCCATCTGCCTAAGGGTCATGAGTGGTGATTAATTATCTGGCGAAGCGCCTGGACCGCCCTTTTGGCCGGCCTCAGGGTGCGACAGGGATGAGCTATCTATAACGAGAAGGAATGGAGGAGGTGGAGGAGAAGGAGGAGAGGCGGTGGCAAGCTGCTGCTCGTCTTGCGTTCCCTTCGGCCGCAGCTGGCCCGCGCGCCCCCGCGGAGGTCTGGGGCCCGGTGCCTCGGCTGCTTCCCGAGCAGCCCGCTGGGAAGGCCACGCCACCCGCGCCGGGGTCTTGTACCTCTGACTGTGGCATACACCGATCCTGGCCTGGCCAGGATCGGTGTATGTGCATGAGTTCGGCGGAGCGCTTGGGGGGGAAGTGAGAGGTGGCAGGCCTTCTCAGAAGGCGGCGGGGCTTCTCAGAAGCCCTCCGGCCTTCTGAGAAGTCGTCTGTGTCTTCGGAGAAAGCCTAGGCAAGTTCTCGGAAGGCCAGAGGCATTCCGAGCCTTTCGAGAAAGCCCGCCCCCTCTGACTTCCCCCCTGGGCTCGCCGCAGACTAGTACTCTTTCTTCTGCTGGGCTCCCAGGACGATCACGAATTCGGCAGGACACCCGAAAACCAGCCTGAGACAAACGTGCCCATGGCATGAACGGCATCACCGAGTGCGCACGCCCGGTTTCGTGACGGTAGACCTCGGAGGAACACGAATTCATGATCGTCCCACACAGCCGGGCCGTTGAAGAAAGAGCCCCTTTCGTCGGGGAGGGGTTCCGTGTGCCTCGTTTGTCTTACTACAGCTTGTCTTAGGTTTTCCTACGATTTTTTATGGGAGATCAAAGTTTAACTTGTGGGAGCACGGGGCCTCGTTCCTTCCTTAGGCTTCCTTCTGACAGCGGTTCGACCGTGACTGCTGTGCGGACCGAGCCGCACCCGCTGGGCCGAGCTCGCGTGCTCCCAGGGCGGCCCGGGCTGGCCTCGCCCGCAGGTGCTCTCCTTCCGCGAGCGCCTCGCCGAGCTCGCGGCGCCGCCGCCGCTGCAGGGGCGCCCCTTGCTCGCCTGAGCGCCAGCGCTGCGCGCGGCGCCAGCAGCCCGCTGCCGCCGCCGCCTCGCGCCTGGCACCGCCTCTTCTCGGCGGCGAGCGAGGCCCCCTCCGCGCGTCGTGGAGCGCGCGCCTTCTCTTCGACCGCCGCCTCCTCCTGTCCTCCGCCTCCCCTGGGGACGGGGGGGGGAGGAGAGGAGCAGCCTCGCCGGGGCGGCCGCCGTGCTCCCGCCGGAGCGGCCGTCGGAGGCCCCCGCTCCGCCGAGGGCGCCCTCGGGGAGGTCTGCGCGGAGCTGAGGCTCGGCGGCGAGCGAGGGGGGGGAGGAGAGGAGGAGAAGGCCTCCTCAGAAGGCGGCGGGGCTCGGAAGGCCGCCCGGGCCTTCCGAGAAGTTGGGCTTCTCAGCAGCCCTTGCGCCCGCTGGGAGGTCTTCTGCGTCTTCGGGGGAGGCGTGGCCAACTTCTCTCGGAAGGCCGGGGCGGCCTTCCGAGCCCCGCCTCCTTCTGAGGAGGCCTTCTCCTCCTCAGCTCCGCGCAGACCTCCCCGAGGGCGCCCTCGGCGGAGCGGGGGCCTCCGACGGCCGCTCCGGCGGGAGCACGGCGGCCGCCCCGGCGAGGCTGCTCCTCTCCTCGCCCCCCGTCCCCAGGGGAGGCAGAGGACAGGAGGAGGCGGCGGTCGAAGAGAAGCCGAAGGCGCGCTCCACGACGCGCGGAGGGGGCCTCGCTCGCAAACGTCAGGCGCAAAAGACACGCCTTCCTTTATGCTGTGGATCGTACGTCCCCCGTGGTGGATCCGGGCCATTTGCGAGCAGTTACTCTGCGAGTAGTGCAACGCGCTTGTCCAAAGAAGACCCTGGTTGAAAACATGTTGCAAGATGTTTGAGCATTAGTTTGGGGTGGGACCGTTTTCCCGGGCAGCTTGGATTTGTTCCTGCTCGCCATCTTGATCTCAGCTAGACCCTATCGTTTTGAAGGGGAAAAAGTGCCAGGGCGGAACGTAAGTCGGCGGCGAAATCCGAACCCTATCCTCGCCGATCAACGTTTCAGGCAACTCAATGGGCGGCGGGGGTAATTAGGGTTTGGACTTCGTCACTTCGTCGAACACGTGGCGGAATCCGAACCCTACCTCCGCTTCCCATTGATTCAGGAGATTCGATGGTTGGTGGGGGTAGGGCCCAGGTGTCGCCACTGGATGAAATTTTTGAGCTTCGCGCGGATCTCGTGGGTCGGCGCTGGGCCCCCCCTGGCGCGCTCCCGTGCCTCCCGCGTCCAGCCTTGCCTCTGCACGCATGGGCTTCGCCATGCGGGAAACGGGTCCTGAGGGCTTCCGCCATTGTCAGGCTCGCGGGCACCCTCCACGGACCCCACGGACTGGCAACTCAACGGCTCAGGGTAGAGATCAGGCCCCAGGGAAGACCTGCTGGAGCCCAGGACCCTCTAGGCGGGACTGCTGGCCGATCCCGGCAGCCGCCGGGGGCCCGATGTAGCAATTCGTTCGTGAGGCATCACACTGCGCTCTGGTCTTCAATGGATGAGCAGAGCTGGGGAGTTGTGCAACGCTTCCGCCTGGACGCAAATTCGCTCTTTCTTTCGGTCTCGCACTTTACGATTTGCTCAGCCGCTTCGCGCGTTCCGCCAAGGCATGCTGTATCATCGAAGCTGTTTGCCTGCGTGCTTGTGGTGTGGCTGGGTGGTTGTACTTTCCCCGAAGTGCTGTGGGAAGTTCGCGTTAAAAAGAAACAGTTGCAAGGTTGTGTGAGGGCAACGCTCGTCGAAACACGGTCCACCTAAGTTCCGCCATCGTTGCCCGGAAACATTAGAAAGCCATAATCATTGAGAAGCGTACGCGCGTGGGTACCTGCAGGTGAGTGCGCACCACGCCAGCCATGCACCCCACTATCTCGTCGGCCATTTCCCACGGCTAAATTTCTGTTCTCGCGTTGACCAGCTCAGTAGTCAGTCTCAATGAGGCAATCGGGGCAACATTGCTGCAACATTGCCGCACTCGTTGCACCACTGCTGCCATCTCAGCAGTGCAATCGTGGTAGCATTGCTGCCCTGTCTCATCAGACTGTCCTTCGCACGACTCGCATGCGCAGCCTCTCGGAGTGGAGTCCCCTGGCATCTCCTGTGCCCGTCGATCTCCGGTCCGTTGGCCGCCTCATCACCTCTGCTTGCTGCCCGTGGCAGCCGGGTGTTCCAGCACACGCGGGACGAGGCCCTCCTGCTCTGAGCGCGCTCGGTGCGCGCGCCTGCCCGCTTGTCGCGGGAGGGATTTGCCGCACGCCGCATCCGCGAGCTTCCTGTGCTAGCCTGTGGCCGTGGTGGCACATCGTGGCTGCGCAGCGTTGAGGCGCTTCTATGGCCTACACTGGTCAGCGCGATCATGCCTGCGACCAGCGCGCGCTAGTCCTCTTGCTGGCGCTGGGGCGTTCCGAACGATGCACGTGAAGGACGATGGCGATTGTTGCAAACATGCAGTCGCGTCGGGCGAAAAACATCAGCATCATATCACATGTCCGTCTTCATGCGCGAAAGCATTTTGGGACAACGATCGTGCAAAGGAGGATGAGGGGCAAAAAAGGACGCGGGAGGATAATCGTGGAAGGAAGCGGGGAGGAAGAGAAACGAGGAGGGAACGAAGGGTTTAGTGGGTTCATCCTGTGAGTTCCTCCTTCATCCACCATGCTCGTCGATTCTGGCTCCGGTGTTTGTGCGGTTCCGCTCGCTGGGCCCCGGCTCATTTTTGGCGTGTTCGAGCTCGAACGAAGGTGTAAGCGGGATCTTTGTCATCATGTGTTTGCTCAAGTCTGTGTGGCTGCCCACCAACAGGACACTGTGCGGCAGCCGCGTGGCGCGCTCGGGTGGCAGACTCTCCGCTCCTTCTGGTTCGAAAGCCAGCGACGGCAAGCAGGGCTGGTGCACGGATCCATCGGCGCGGTCAGGTACCACCGCGGGGGCGCTCAATTTTGCGTCGCTTCGGATTGCGTCGGCGAACCCTTCACTGGCACTTGCGACGTGCTCAGTTGTTGGATTAGATTCTATAAGCTTACGCCACATCCGCCGACCCTTCTAAAAATTATTGCGCGTCCAGGACTGCATTCCACGAGGCTTATCCGATTCCTGGGAGGTTCTTGGGGGCGTTTGGGGGTTCTGTTCGGGCTCCCTGATGGCTTCTTGGGGCGTGTTGGGGGCTTCTTTGGCAACCTGGGGGCGTCCTGGGGCCGAAGGCTGGAAATGTGGGTTCGGGTTCCCCCCGTGGGCCTCCTTTTGGCGCCGTCCGGGGGCCCTCTGGGGCCGTTATCGGGGCTTCTTTGGCGGTCTTGGGGCCCTTGTGGGCCGTCTTGGAGCCGTCCCAGGGGTCTATTGGGCCGTGTTGCACGGTATGAAAGCGCAAGGGGCGAGTATGTATAAAACGTATGTTTTGGTAAGGGGATGGGGCAATTTTCACTTCTTCGGTGCGTTTTTGGGGGCCTCTTGGCTTTTTTTTTTTTTTTTTTTTTTTTTTTGTTTTGCTTTCTTTCTTTCTTTCTCTCTTTCTCTTATAAAACATTCGACGATTCGACGCCCTCTTGGATCGTCATGGGGCCCACTTGGGGCCCTCTTGGCCCGTTTTGGGGCCCTCTGTGCTCCCATGGCGCGTTCGGCTGGGGACGGGGGGGGTCAAATCTTTTGGGGGGGGGAGGTTTGTGGGGGGCGATCGCGCCCGCCTAGAGACCCACCAGGGGTCGGCGGACATTCTGGACAGTGCGCAGAGACCTTGTGCACAGCTTGGTTGGCATCCTCTTCCACCATATTCGCCTGCCAGCTCCAGCAGACAATGGTGCGACTTGAGGGGCCCCAGACCCGGATCGCAATGCGGTGGCACGCGGGCGCGCGAACTGTGCGCACTTGCGGCTGTGCGCGCGGACGGCAGCGTAGGAGGCGCCTGGGAGTTGCGCGCAGGCCCGCAGCGTTCGCCCTATGGGTGAGATCTCCACGCAGCCGGCGCCCAGTCGACGACTATTGGTGCCCGGATGGGTGGGGGACGTCGTCCGAACAGTCAACCGGGGAGTTGCCGATTTGGTCGCTGGTCATTCGATGTTGGCGGAGGATTCGCGCCGCGCGGCTGTCGCGCGGATTCGCTAAAGTTTTGTTGTCATCTCTGCGCGAGGCTGGGGACTTCGGACTTCGGCGTCCACTACTATGCAGCGGCAGCCGCGCTGGCTCGACGATGCTGGTCACGTTGCAGACAGCGCCATGGATAGTAATTGAGGTTCTGTAGTGTTGTCCAGGCATCTTTTCTTGAAGCATCATGCTTGATGTTCTATTGCAACGGTGGGTTGTCGGCCAGTGTCGGTGCTGCTGCGTTCGCTTTTGTCTGATAGAGGGGGGCGATGGCGTCGTGTGGCTACCTGGGTGCCGTTTCCACCGGTGTAAGCGCGCTTCCGTGGTGCGTCGGAGTGGCTTCCCCCTGTCCTGCTTTCTCCCGCCGCCGCTCTCCTCGCGGCAAGCGTTCCCGTGGGTTCTCAGTGAGATTATCTTTCGCCTCTGCCGTGTTTTTGAAATGGTCGCGCCGAGGAAGCCAGTGGATTTGTGCCGACGTCTGGGAGGGGGGAGCGACGCAGTTCGCGTGGCGGCTTCGCGCGAGTCCGTCCGCCCGTCAAGACGCCGTTCAGACTCCTCGGCGCCCGTGTGTTTGGAATTCCGGGGCAGGCCAGTTCAAGCAGCATTGCATCGAGATGAGGAGCTATTAGAAGGCAGCCGACCCACCGCGCACTCGCGCATCTGAGGGATGGCGCATTATTTTATTCGGTGCTGACTGTAGAAGCAGAGTGTGCGTGCGATATCAGGAGCTAGCTGCAACTTCAGTATGGGCCGCGCGATGGGCGCCTGAGCTCTTCTGCAAAATTTGCGCGAGTTATATTCGCACCTTCCCAGCTTGTGCTTGTCGCGAGTTTTGCTGCTGGTTGATTTCGAGTGGGGCGCGTGGGGGCGGATTCATTGCGCGATGTATCGCGTCAGATGGTTGTCGCTCGCGCTGATATGTGCAGTGCAGATGCGGGGCTCGCGGGATGGCGCGACTTCGTTTTCCGCCTTTTTGGCGCTGGTATTTCCTTCTCGGAGCGCCGCAGGCGCCGGGTGGGCAGCCCGTCCATTATTGTCTGATATTTGCGCGCCATGCTTTTTCCTTGGAGCTACGCGCAGCGACCGCTGCAGAGCCCTCGCTTCTGCCGGCGAGCTGGGGCGGGGCCCGGGGATACTTGCAAGGGCGTGTTCGGTGGGGGGAGTGGCGAGGGGGCAGCGGCGCAGTACTCGCAGTGGTGGGGGCCGTGGGGCAGTGGTGGGGGCGGTAGTGGTGGGGGCAGCGGTGAAGGCGGCGGTGAGGGCAGTGGTGGGGCGCTGGTGCAGCGGGGAAAGTGGTGGGGGCAGTGGGGGCAGTGGTGGGGGCAGCGGGGGTTGTGGGGCAGCGCCGTGGGAAAGCGGCGGGGGCAGTGGGGCAGTGGGGGGTGCATTGGAGGCAGTGGGGCAGCTGTGGGGGCCGCGGGGGAAGTGGGGGGAGCGGGGGCCGTGGTGGGACAACGGTGGGGGGAGTGGCGTCAGTGAGATATTGGTGGGGGCACTGGTGGGGGCGGCGGGGGCAATGGTGGGAAGGGTGGGGGCAGCGGGGCAGTGGTGGGGGCGGCAGCGGTGGGAACAGCGGGGGCGGTGGAACAGCGCAGTGGGGCATCGGCAGGGGCAGTGGGGCAGTGGTGGGTGCAGCGGGGGCGGTGTGGCACCGGTTGGGGCCGTGGGGGGCGCGGGGGGAGTGGGGCCGTCATGGGGCAATTGCGGGGGGAATGGGGGCAGTGACATGCTGGTGGGGGCACTGGGGGGGCAGCAGGGGCAATGGTGGGAACAGTTGGGACAGCGGGGCAGTGGTGGGGGCGGTGGCGGTGGGGGCAGCGGTGCGGGGGCAGTGGGTATGTGGTGGAAGCGGTGGGGCAGTGGAGGGTGCAGTGGTGGCGGGCGCAGTGGCGAGGGCGGTGGCGAGGGCGGCGGTGGAAGTGGGGGCAGTGGTGGGGGCAGCGGGGCAGCTCAGTGGGGCAGCGGCGGGGGCAGTGGGGCAGCGGGGACAGTGGGAGTGGTTGGGGCCGTGGGAAAAGTGGGGGGAGTGGGGCCGCGGTGGGAGCAGTGGTGGGGACAGTGGTGACAGTGCGACAGTGGTGGGGGCGCTGGTGGGGACAGTGGGGGCGGCGGTGGGAACGGCGGGGCAGTGGTGGTGAGGGCAGTGGTGCTGGGGGCAGCGGGGATGTGGTGCGAACGGTGGCAAGGGCCCAGGAGTCGTTTGCTGGCGGTGAGCGTGTGGTGGGGGGGTCGGGTTCGGACCGTTAGTGGCTTCCGCTTGTTTTCTGGAGGGGGGGGGGGTCGAACCGGTAGTGGCGCCCTTTGTTTTCTGAGGGGGGGGTGGGGGGGGTTCGAGCCCGGGGAGGGGTTCGAACCGGCAGTGGCCACCCTCCTGGTTTTCCGGGGCGGTGGTGGTGGTGAGGGAGGGGGGGGGGGGCAGGGGGAGGGGGGGGGTCCCAGCAGGGGGGGGGGGGGATTTTCGGATGGGAGGGAGGGGGCCCGGGGTTCCGGAGGAAGAGGGGGGGGAATTCTCCACAGTAAAGCGGCGGTGGGTCACGCTCTCTCGAATAATTCCATCGCAGGCATGCGCGGCGACGTCGGGGTCGGTGCGAGGGGGAATTGACTCAGGGACAACGTTATCATATCGTTGCGAAGACAGCGTGCGCCGTTGCATCCTTGACGTGGCTTCGAAGACATTCGCGGCGCTTTCCGATGTAATTGTCCAGTTCGTTTGTATGTGTATGCAGGGTGCGTCGGGGCGTGGGGGCGCTTTGGCCTTCCCGGGCGTTTGCGTGTTCGCTGCCGCATTGATGGCGTTCTGGAGGGGCGCATCGCGGCGCGATTTACATGCGCGCCCCGCGAGACAAGTGTGGGGCGTTTCGCCTGGTGCTCCGCGAGCGTCCGCCAGACGGGCGCGCCTCGGCGCGTGGCCTCGGGTTGCTGATGGTGGAGATGGAGCTGGCCTTATGAATATTGGGGCGCTGGCGCAGTTCCTGCCCAGAGAGTCGCCAGCTTCGGACTCTGCGCCCTCGCCCGCCTCGTGCTGAACGCGCGCAGTTCTCGGCGAGGGAAACTGTCGGGCTGGGTGGTGGCGGGGGTCCCGTTGTCGCGTTCGTCGGTCTCTCGGGCGAGCGCATTCGGGCGGCGTAGCCGCGGCGCCCCTCCGCCGCGTCTTCGGCTGCGGGGGCGAGGGCGGGGGCTATTTTGCGGAGGGATTGGCCTGGGCGCGGGGTGGCGGATGTCCTCCCGCATGCGTTTCTGGCGGCTTTGTGGGCGTGCGGGGAGAAAGCAGATCCTCGATCGCATTGCTCGCATACCGTGGAACAACGCCATATTCGACGCGTGGGAGGCATTCCCCTGCTCGCGCGGGGCCCCACCGAGGCGATCTACGGGCCCTCTGGCGCGGCGCAGTTGCCGGGCGTGCTGGGTGCGCCCGTGAAGCGCGGATGTGGAGTCGCAGAAGCCGCCTGCGCCTCGAGGGCGCGGGCTGGGGCGAGCTGGCTCTGGCGCCCCGCCGCCGGCGACCTGGGCCGCCCCCGCGAAGTCGCGTGCGTATTTCAGTATCGGGCCGGGATCAGTGCGCGGCCCCTTGTAGGAATTGCGCCCCGCGCTTGCGATTCCGAACGGTGGGGGTCGACCCCCTGCGCTCCCTGCCTCGAGCGCGGGCCCGAGGGAGGTCCTGGCCCCTGGCCGCGCGGCGAGCGACTCGCCTGCGTCGTCGAGTTGACGTCTGGCGTTCAGCCTGGGAACGCTCGATCGCGGGGCTGTGCTTGGAGATCTGGGTGTGGGAAGTTTGCGCCGAGCCCGCGCCCGACGGCTTCGACGTGAACTTGCGCGCCAGGCTTGTCCGGGCCCCCGAAATTACTCGCGATGCCGGGGCCGCTGAGGCGCCGGCGTCGGCGGTGCAGCCGCTATCCCTCAACGGGCCTCGTCAGTCGCATCTGCGTCGCCAAGTCGTCCACATCCGGATTCTCGTATTTGTCGCGCTTAAAATGATGCGGCCAGCGTCTCCCGCGCGTAGAGCTCGCGCCGCCAGCAATGCCGCGGGGGCCAGGAGTTTTGGAATATGTGGGCAGTTCCCAGCGGCGGTGCGCGACGCCGATGTAGGGTTGCTTGAGGCGCCGCGCGCATCGCAGAACGCGTTGCCGCGGGGGCCGCCAGCTGCGCTCGTGAATCATACTTGCTCGGAGAGGCTGGTGCCAGCGGGGGCTCTCTCTGCGATTCGGCAGGTCCATGCCTACTTCCGTGCGCTCATGCGGGCTTGCGTAGAGGCGCCGGGGATGTATCGAGTAGAGGCGCTAGGGTTGTATCGAGTAGCGGCGGGTGCGCGGTCTCGGTGCGCTGGCGTCCTGGCTTGGGGGGCTCTCTCCAGCGGGGTCTCCCGCTTTCCTGTCGGATTTCCCCCCCCTCCCCCCGCTGTGCACCTTGTTTCCACGCCGGCTAGCATATGTGGAGCCGAGTGCGTCTTTTGTGAGTTCTCAGGTCATCGTCGGGTTCGTTGCAGGTATACTTCGAATTGCCGGGCCTGCCGCGCCAAAATAACAATTTCGTGTGATCTGTTCTGGATGAATTCGATATTTCCCTTTGTGGTGTTTCTGCGTTGCCTGAGGAATTGCCGAACGCACTTGCGATACGCGGTCAAGCATCAAGCGCCTGGGCTCGATAGTTTTTTTGTCTGGGCGCTTCGTCTTCGTGTGCCCTGCTCGGAATCCGAGCCTCGGCTGCGTGGGCACTAGCCGTGGGCATGAACAGGTCCGCTTTAGCAATGCTGTGATAAACGCGATGTCTTGCTGTTTGGATTTTGTGCTGCTGTTGCCGGGGTTTCCCCCGTGCGAGAGCAACATCAATTTTTCGTTCGCGGTGTATTTTCTTGGCGGCCTTCCAATACATATTCTTGCATCGGCGCTTCTTTGTGCGCGAGCAACCAGGGTTGGTAAGTTTCTATCGCGGCCCGAGGACGTGACGGGAAATTCCGAGGAACACTGTTAGGTAACGTTTCGGCGCGATGCCGCCAGCACGTGCGCTTCGGTGCTTGGCCTGTGACCTATTTCCTCGGCGGCCGCTGGCGCTTGGCACCTCGTTGCGCCTGCGTCGGGCAGGATCGCTTCGCTGTGTGCGTTGCTGCCCGGCTCTTTCTCGCTTTTTCTTGCATGGCGCTGTTGTGGACACCGCGGGTTCAGCCGCCTTTTTGCGGGGTTCTGGCATCAGCAGGAGGCTGTGGGGGAGGGTGAAGTAGTAGTAGGAGGAGGATGGGGAGGAAAAGGAAAAGGGGGGAGAGGAGGATGAGGTGGAGGACGGGGAGGAGGAGGAGGAGGAAGAGGAGGAGGAGGAGGAGGAGGAGGAGGAGGAGGAGGAGGAGGAGGAGGACGAGGAGGACGAGGAGGACGAGGAGGAGGAGGAGGGGGAGGAGGGGGAGGAGGAGGAGGAGGCACATGAAGGTGAACGGGATTCTGCAAGTGATGAGCGAGGCGGGGGCGTATGAGGGTGTAAATGAGCAATGCGGAGTCCTGGGGGGCGGGAGGAACGAGACGAAATGAGGGACCGCGGGGGAGGAGGGAACAGGATCGTAAGGAGGGCGGTCTGGCCCAAGACAGCCAGGGTGCCCCCCCCAGTGGGGCGGCGTCGGTGAGACAGACGGCGCTGCGCGTGGTAAGCGCGTGGCAGTGCCCGACACGGTCTCGACTTTTTCTGGACACGGCTGCCCCCACAAGCGGGTCTGCGGCTCTCCCTCTCCGAGGACGAGGAGGAGGAGGAGGAGGAGGAGGAGGAGGAGGAGGAGGAGGAGGAGGCGGAGGAGGAACAGGAGGAGCAAGAGGAGGAGGAGGAAGAGGAGGAGGAGGGGGAGGAGGAGGGGCAACAACAGGAGGATGAACAGCAATAGGAGGAGGAGGAGGAAGAGGAGGAGGAGGAGGAGGAGGAGGAGGAGGAGGAGGCGGATAAGGAGAAGAAGGGGAGGGAGGAGGAAGGATAATCATAATACGAGTATTAAGAACTGTGATATTACCACTCGTACCAATAATGACACAATTCGCATTACTGGTAAGAACCAGGATGCTATCGCTACTACTACCACTACTACCACTACCACCACTACTACCATCACCACCACCACCACTACTACTACTACTACTACTACTACTGCTACTACTACTA